TTTCCTGTTGGTGTCAACAGTTAGGTGTTTTAATTACAGAGTGAGATTGCTTATTCAATTACTGTTTAAACATCATAAGGTAGTTTCACCATTGTAAAGGTGTCCTTTAAAAAATGAAGAAATGGAACAGAAAGTAATAAGCATGTCATCTTGGGTTTCTTTTCCCCCCCCAGACCTAATGTATATAGAAGGCGAAAATAGCACTTTTGTATTACTGGAAATGCCTGAGTAAAGGGCTTCCAACAGTTGATATGTTGGCCAAAAATGTAAAGTATGATACAAAAATACACCATTGTTCATGAACATGCAGTGATATGAGTTGTAAATAGGTGACATGCTGTTCATTTAAGGCACAGCTGAAGAGCTATTGTTGAGGAGGACGTGTGAATACAATTAACGTGTGGATGTATAGCAGTGAAATTTATATATTTTTACAATACATTTTTAAAGCGCTCTTTGCCATTTGTTTTGGTTGCAGAGGCTTTACAGAGATCCGGACAAAGCAAGAAAGAGGAAATAACTGTAATTTTTACTGGTAATAAAGGCTGGTTCATCTGGTTCTTAGTGAGAATATTGAATTTTTGGAATGGTTGCTTGAAACAGTGATTTGTTGTTCTTCTTTTTCAACTGTAATCCATATGACCATGTGTATGTAGGTAGTGAGAGATTTGAGAGGGCCCGTACAGATTTGCATGAGCAAAACTGTTCATAGAGGAGTGACGACTACTGACTAGGCTGTATACTGACCATATAGTCAGTTGCTGTTGTTGACCACTTTCACCCTTTTACCTGTTTTAATCGATAAACTCTGCTTGTTTTCTCTGAACAGCTGAAGTAGGGAGTTGTCATTTGCAGCTGTAGGGTGTGTGTGTGTGTGTGTGTGTATGTGTGTTTGGGCAGGACGTTTGAGTTTCACTGCACGCTCAAGCTGTTGTATAGGGCGTTGTCAGGGCTCCAGCTCAATAGGACACAGAAGTATGAGCAGGCGATGATCACAATAGAATCCGCATGGCTTACAGCAATGTTTGCTGCGATGATTTAATACCACTTGTTGCAGTGTAGCTCTGAAAGTTGCTGAGCTGTACTGTACTGTACAGCATTGTTACCATGCACAGTACTGAAACTAAGGCCAGGCTGTTATGGCGTTGTGATTATTTCAAGCCATATTGTGATTAAACCCCCTTGAAGCTATTGCAGTGTATAGAAATACCCATATCATTTATGATACCAATTGTGATTTGTCATAATCCTTATATTTGGGGATGTGATTGGCCAATTATTTTTGTGAACAGAAGAAATACTTTTAATGTAGGGCTTCATTATATAAACATAAAGACTGATGTTCAGTAAAGCTGTTGGATATCACCCTGCCTATACGAGAAGTGATAAATTATAATTATTAAAATAGTGTACCTCTATCCACATGTACCACAACCTCAATGTGATTTGCGGCTAGCGTTGTGTAGTGGCAAGGACCTGGCGATACAATACCTTCACAATATAGGGATTACAGTCCCTGTATTATCCAACATTATAGCGTTACATTTTGTGCAGTCTGAACAAAGAAATAAAGATTTGTCTATCAGTAAAAAATAAAATAAAAGTTCGTTTTTACCTCCTTTTGCAACTTGAGCACAGCAATGTCAGTGATGTGTTGGGAGGGAATGGTGTAAAGAGGCTCTAATTTATTAACTATATTACAGAGGCCTTGTTCTGACACAGTGTTATGCTTTGTCGAAATATTCTACCGTAGGTAAATGTTACTACACTGTAGTAATGATATAGGCATGCTCGCTTGATAGATGGGCCAAATTATTAGAACACCTGATTTTTCAGATTTAGCCATCGGTGGTAGCGTTACTAGTCAGCTAGGTTTACGTTAGCGGTGTGCCCTTATGCTACTTGTTTATGTTTGAGTGGAAAAGTCTGATTGCTAAAGACAGAATACAACACTGCTATCTGGCTTTCAGGGGTTTAAACACAACTCAAAATGTTTATTGTAATGATGGATGAAGTAGTTCTCAATAGATGTTGGGTTACTCAGTGCCATTTAATATGTGAAAAAATTAAAGGGTATCAGTAATTTTAACTAGAACATGTCGTGCTGATTATTTGTAGGAATCGCCCAGGCCTAGTTGTCGCATTGAAGAACTTTTTACAGTTTTGCAGTTCAGGATAGTGGTTTTTGAACTAAGCATGTATGTTTTCTAATTGTCTGAATAGCTGAGTGGTTAAGTCACTTACTGTCCACACGAGACAATGTAGTTCTCAGTTCCCAGTTCTAACGCTTCTAGCACGTTTCCATCACTCTAACGCTGTGCACGTGCAGTAATTAGATTCATTCTGTCGTCCCTTAGCAGAATTTTTAAGAAAATTTTCAAATGGAAAGTTGAAACTTTTTTCAGTTTTATGGAGTTTATCATGCTGCATTAGAATCTTAGTCGTCTCTAAAAACTATTTTTTCCCTGAAAAATCTAAAATAGAGAATCTAAAAAAACAATTTTTTTTTTTCCCTGAAACAAATTTATTAATTCACAACAATGCATTACACAAAAATATGATCAGTATTATTGCAGTAAAATGGGGGGATAAAAACAGGTGCTGTTATACTTGAATTCTGCCTTTTGGTCTTTGAAGCCAAAAACATTTTCCATGAGCTTCCTCTGAACTATGTTAGTACTTTCTCTAGTCGCTTGCCAGTTTTGTCCAAGGCAGCATTGAGTATGCAAGCACTTAAACTGTGCATATGTGTGTCTGTGTGAGTGAGATAAAGCAACATAACAAGCGCTGTTTGCAACCGCTTCAGCCTTTTTATCAGTGGAAGTGAGCAAGAGAGCGATTAGCCTCCTATTTACCAAATAGTGTGTTGCTGCCTGCTATCAAACGCCAGGCTTATCTCTGCAGCTGGCATTAATACATAGCTGCTGCTAACACATCCACATATGGAGCTGCTAACCTGCTAGCCTTTTGCATAGCTTTGATTCACCTGGTGCTGTGTAAGGCTAGACTGGAGCTGTAATTGTGCCCAGTGAGGAATTTTCACCTGCGCTGGGGTGTTATATTTACAACTGTGTGCGATTGTAGAATTGACTTTGCTGTGGTTTTGTTTAATCACCCATTCAGTGTCCAAAACTCATTTAGACTTTAGGCTGAAGGTGCACCTCCTCTTCATTGTGAAGAAGGTTTGTAATGATCGGTGTAAACTGCAGCCATGACATTGATTTAAAATTCCATTGAATTTAATATTGTAACTTCGCCTCATTATTCTCTTTTGTATGTATGGAGGTAGCCCACATTTCTGACATAGATTTGTGCTAATATAAACGCTTGTTTGTGAGTTGGCGAGAGAGGACAATGCTTGCTTCGTGCCACTCTCTCATTGCTCTCCCGAGCTGGGGCGTGCATTAGCAATGCTAATGAGATCTCTGTGTGTAAGAGAGGCTGAGAGAGTAGTTGGCACTGCCAGGCAGTATATGGGAGAGGAGTGTCTATGATGCCTCATTTGGGTAGATTTTGGAGCTGATTTATAAGCAGTTGAATTTGACTGATTGAACTGGTTGATTAATTCTCGCACATTATGCATCAGTGCAGTTCATTTTTTTCACTCATAGGCCAGTGGCAGGTTCACACTACAGCTTCATAGCACTGGCATTAGTTTACCCACGTTTCACCTATCTGAAATTAATTGAAATCTAAATCTGCTATTTTCCACCAAATATAGTGGAATTGTCATGTGGTTTAGTGATGGCTATAGATGCTGTCATAAAACCATCAGTGCCTTCTAAAGCCCTGCCAAAAGCTTTGGTGGCTACTCTTAGTCCCTGCTTCAATGTATGTGAGGAATAAACTTGCTCAGTGAAAGTCTGAGTTCTTTTTCCCCAGCACACATTTTTTTTTAGTTGTCTTAGTTTTTAGGCTATTTTTAGATTCCCTGTCAACACTATAGGAAATCTGACATGTGCATGCTTTTAACTCACAGCAAGAGTGCACAGAATGAACCTTTGATCGACATGCTCTGTGACATTAACTCCTATACTTAGCACTTTATTCAGTACTTTTACATTAGTGTTGCCTTCGATCATTTAGAGAAAGGATGGGTGTATTGGAAAGTGAGCGCTGTTGTGGAATGGTCTGAGAAGGGGAGTGAGCGAGCTGTCCTTATATGGTTTGTTCAGAGGGAGATGGTGAGGGGAGAGAGTGGGGCAGGCAGGGAGAGAGGGAGTAAGCAAGTGAGTGAGTAGTTTTACATTTATCACCCTCTTCCTCTATTCTTTTTTTTGTGTGTTATCTGTGTTGCCACTGTAAAGCCATAGAAATGAGTGGCTGAGTGCAGCAGATTAGTTGAAATGTCTTGCTGCCACAAGTCTTCTTATTTAAAACCAACCCACGCAAATGTGGCCTTTTGAGTAGCCAAGAGCGACTGAAGAAGAATTATGTGATTTACCACTGTCTAACCACTGCTGATGAACTGATATCTTTATTTGACATTGACAGACATGTCTGCTGCTGGATTTCATGCAATCTATAAGGGGGCCAAGGCAGAGTGGTGTAGGGTGAAAGAAGAGGTACAGCAAAAGTCAAATAGAATGAATATGTATCTCCAGACAGAAGGTGAATAAGCGAAAGAGAGCGAGCACAAGACTGAGCTGAAATTGAAACGGCAGTTAGGAACTTCTGTTGTAACCTCAGTGTGACAACCACAGCCCTGACTGAAACCCTAAAACCCTCTTGTCACCTCTCCCCTAATCCAGACTGTTGATTTCTCTGCCGAGCCAAAACCCTCAAACCTATATTTGCTTACCAAGTTTTAGGTTTTACACTTTGGTTAATGACTTGTTCCTGTTTGTGTTTAAATTGTTCTGTACTGTTGCTATTTGTTGAATGATTTTTGTTTGTTTGTCACACTTAAAGACAAGTTTGTATTATACTAATAAGTATGAAGTGAGCACCCATAAGCATCAACTGTGTGTTAATAGAGTTGTTCTCTGGTCTGTTGACAGGCTGTAGAGGTGAGCACAGAGTGACCCCAGCATGCGTGAATATAAGCTTGTGGTCTTGGGCTCAGGAGGTGTGGGGAAATCTGCACTGGTAAGAGAGAAAAGATAATCTCTGCATGTTGAAATGAAATTAAATTTTGGTCTGTGAATTCTTTCTCACGTGTTTGGATTAAAAAAAAAAACAGCTGCAAACATTGCCGTTTGACTATAGCCTCCTTGTGAGTTTGATTACAGTGCATAATTGTGGTCATCTCTCTTGTCTCCACAGACAGTCCAGTTTGTTCAGGGTATATTTGTCGAAAAATATGACCCCACAATAGAAGACTCGTATAGAAAGGTACGACAAACCCAAATTAACAGTAACATTGGCACAGCAGACAGAATTCTGTTTTGAGTTTCTTTTTCGTTGTGGTTCACATTTTACATTTTCTCTCTCTCGCTTTAGCAAGTAGAAGTGGACGGGCAACAATGCATGCTAGAAATCCTCGACACAGCGGGAACAGTAAGTGCATCTTCAACTTTTTTCTTACGTTTTGCTTGTGCTTATTAATGCTTTTACAGTAAAATGTAAAACCTGTACGAACAGTGAAACTATAAAATAATTCATAAGACTCGTCTCCACTCAGTGCTAGAATGGCTAGGTTGTGGGTTAGCCCTGAAGATAGCACAGTGCAGATGGTAGTTAACTTTAAGTATAGACTTAAAGGCACTTGCACACGAGGGCTTTACTGGACTTTCTTACAATTCAAGGGTTTGAGCTCAACTAAAGTATATCATTGATGTAATGGAAATGATAAACTATGTTTGGTGTATTTGTGTGCGTGCTGTAGGAGCAGTTCACGGCGATGAGGGACCTGTATATGAAGAATGGGCAGGGCTTCGCTCTGGTCTACTCCATCACGGCACAGTCCACCTTTAACGACCTGCAGGACCTGAGAGAACAGATCTTACGGGTTAAAGACACAGAGGATGTGAGTATTGCTGCGGCATCTTTTATTTTTAACAATAGATCTTCCTATTTAACAACAAACCTGATCTTCCTAATCCTGATCCTGATTAATACAGGATACAAAAGCTAACACTAGGAGTGGGAGGTATGCTAGAATGTGAAAATGGGTATAACCTTGTCCTATGATTTGCATTTTACTGTATTAAGCCCATAAACAGTGAACCACAAACAGCTCTGCCCACAGTTTATTTACAATGAGCACAACTTCCTGAACTCAAACAGATGAAAGTTCTCAAAATTAGATTACATAATACACAAAGCAGGACACAGTGTTAAAGCTGCAAAGTAAAATTCTATTAATTTGTTAATTAAAATGTTTGAAATTGATAAAGCCATTCAGATAACCACTATTTAACCTCTTTTAAGAAACCACATGTTTACATGTGGCTGTTTTTATTAGTTGGATGGGAAGTGATAGCAAGCCACAAGCTAGCAAGTCAGCAGAAGCAGCGTATCTAAAGACAACAAGAGAGTCTGCTTCCATGTTGCATAAAAACAGCAGTCTGTGGTTAACCTTTTTCATAGCAGTGAAGTCTTACTGTTGAAATGTGAGACTCTTGGCCATATTTATTTAAGAAATCCACCAAAAGAAGCTGAGATATATTACCACCACTGCACAATCTGGCTGCAGTATGGCTGTCAGCTTTTTCTAATCTGTTTTATAATGCAAGATGCTAATAATGGTTTAATACTGGTACATTTCAAATACATTTTTACTGCTCCAGATTCCTAGATATCTTGAGAGCTCTCAGTTGCATTTTTTAGGGGGAAAAAAAGTGTCTCGTTGATCATATGGAATCTGAAATGTCACTGCTCACTGCTGAATTGATCAAAAAGTTGTTTTCTTTTTTCTGATTAAAAAGATGCTGTTTTCCACCCTCCTATTTGCCGCCCGTCACTGATATGCTACGTGGACAAAAATATTGGGATACTCCTCCAAATCGTTAAATTCAGGTGTTTCATTCAGTTCCATTGCCACAGGTGTATAAAATCAAACACCTAGCCATGCATGCCTTTATGAACATTTGTGAAAGAATGGGTCTTACTAAAGAGCTCACGGAATTAGAGCGTGATCCTGAAAAAGGATGTCACTGTTGCAACAAGTCAGTTTGTGAAATTTCTTCCCTCCTAGATATTCCACGATCAGCTGTGCATGGTATTATTAAAAAGTAGAAGGGTTTAGGAACCACAGCAACTCAGCCACGAAGTGGCAGACCATGTAACGTTACAGAGCGGGTCGCTGAGTGTTGAGGCGCATAGTGCATAAAAGTCTCCATTGCTCTGCTGACAAAATATCTTCAGAGTTCCCAAACCTCATCTGGCATTAACATCAGCACAAAAAATGTGCACCGGGAGCTTCATGGCATGGGTTTTCATGGCCGAGCGACTACATGCAAGCCTTACATCACCAAGCACAATGCCAAGCGTCGGGTGGAGTGGTGTAAAGCACACCTCCACTGGACTCTGGAGCAGTGGAAACCAATTCTGTGGAGTGACGAATCACGCTTCTCTATCTGGAAGTCTGATGAACAAGTTTGAGTTTAGCGAATGCCAGGAGAACATTACCTGCCTGACTGCATTGTGCCAGCTGTAAAGTTTGGTGGAGGAGGGATAATGCTATGGGGTTGTTTTCAGGGGTTGGCCTAGGCCCCTTAGTTTCAGTGAGGGAAAATCTTAATGCTTCAGTATACCAAGACATTTTGGACAATTGTACGCTTCCAGCTTTGTGGGAACAGTTTAGGGAAGGTCCGTTTCTGTTCCAGCATGACTGAGCCCCGGTGCACAAAGCAAGGTTCATAAAGGCTGGGTGTGTTTGGTGTGGAAGAACTTGACTGGCCCACACAGAGCCCTGACCTCAACCCCATTGGACACCTTTGGGCTGAACTAGAACAGAGATTGTGAGCCAGGCCCTCTCGTCTGACCTCACAAATGCTCTTCTGGGTGAATGGGCAAAAATTCCCACAGACACACTCCAAAATCTTTTAGAAAGCTTCCCAGAAGAGTGGAAGCTCTTATAGCTGCAAAGAGGGGACCAACTCCATATTAATGCCTATGGATTTAGAATGGGATGTCATAAAAGCTCTTATAAATGTAATGTGCAGATGTCCCAATACTTTTGTCCATATAGTGCATTTAAGTAACATGTTTGTTGTTACCAGATTGGGTGTGATCCTCGAAGTAGCAATTTATGCTATACATTATGCTTTATAATTTATTAGAGTAATTGTTTGATAAGTGATGCTTTTTTTTAAATTCCATTAAATTTACAGAAAAATGATTAATAAAATATATGTATTACTAAAATAGCTATTAAAAATAAATTGTATTCATTTGTAGTACTGCTGTAATACTATGATACTTGTAATACTTGTTATTGTAGTAATAATAAGAACTTCTTCACCTTTAGGCTTTCTTCTTATTATTTTTTTTATTTTATTTGTTCATTTTATTTATTTTTTGGTGGGGGTGTGGGATATGTAATATTGTCCATTTAGTGAAAAGTATTAGTGTATGGCTTTCGCTTTATGCTGCTCACCTCTGTCTAACTTTTTGCCTTGTTGTGAGAGACCATGTCTTGTGTCACACGTCATCATATCCTAGTTGTGGTTAATCAGTGTTTAATTCTGGTTTGAGTAGTCTCAAGTCAGCACTTCACTAGCGAGTCCCATGTGTGTCAATACAATGGCCAACATGTAGTGAGATTATGTTTGTCTGCAGGTGCCGATGATTCTTGTGGGGAATAAGTGTGATCTGGAGGACGAGAGGGTTGTGGGGAAAGAGCAGGGACAAAATCTTGCTCGTCAGTGGAATAACTGTGCCTTTCTAGAATCCTCCGCCAAATCAAAGATCAATGTCAATGAGGTGAGTGAGCGGTCACTGTACGTTTATGTCAGTAGATTCATTTCATTTTGGACTGTTACTTATGTTGTGCAAAACATTCATTTCTTTAATTTCTTCTCCCCAGATATTCTAGGCCCTTAGGTGAAAGCTGTCCAAAGCATTGTGATCTGCTTTACTGGATGTAGATTAAGTTTATCAGATATCAGTAATGTTCAGTAATCTGGAATAGTGGCAGCATTCACAGAATAATCTGGTTGGTTTAAAAATTGTTGCTAACATGCATGGAAACTTGTCTACAGCTATCCATTCCGTTATTAGGCTTAATCTGCTCCTGTAAAGCCAGACCTATTTGCTATTAAAAGCCTTTGGTACTATTTTAAGCATTACCTGTGTCTGTCTCTGTATCAGATTTTCTACGACCTGGTCAGACAGATTAATAGAAAAACGCCGGTGGAAAAGAAGAAAGCCAAGAAGAAGTCTAACTGCACACTGCTCTAAAATGCACATACATAACCACCCCAGCAGCAGCTCTGAGCCAGGTAATCATTACAGTGCAAGTACCAATAACACATTTTCCAGTAAAAATAACTTTTTCTCTCTATCATGCATTTTGATTGTTCCAGTATATACAACCACTCCAGTGGCTCTCAGATAATCAGTATGCCTAAAATCTCTAAAATGGCTTGATTGGCCGTTTATATTCTCACTTTTTATTAAGTTTAGTTTTAGATGTAGTCTTGTTTTTTCTCAGTGGTAAAGGTATCCTATTACTCTTACACTGCTGAAACACTGCCATGTTTTTTTTAAGTGATGCACAGAATATATTTTCATTCCCAGCATGACTGGTGGGTCATTAATTAATTTCTGCAGTGTTTAATAATGCCTTGAGAGAGGGTATGTGTCATTGGACCTAAATGGAATGAATGTATAGCTGCAGAGCATCATCACCTCCTATTGGTGGTAAATGGCAGTGCAGAGACTCCTCTATTATTGTGAAAGCCCCTTTGATCCAGTTTATGAAAGCCAAATTGTTGAAGTATATTAAAATATGCTTAGGTTCTTAAATTTTAAATTAAAAATATTGTGATATAAAATTATTTGAGATTTTAGTTAAATGAAATGGAGAAATGGGAACATTTTGTCACTCTCCTGTTTGTTTCTGTCTTGCTTCTAGAATGCTGAAATGAAGACCTGTTGCCCTACTGGCCAGCATTCCAGCCCCATTCAACAGTTATTGGAAACAGTGTCGGCAAAGGCAGAAAACGACTAAGGTTTTATTCCTTAGTTTACAGAAAGGAGTGAACAAGAGAAAGAGAAGTTTGTCTTCTCACACACTCTCCATTTCTGCTTTTCCTTCCCAAAAAATCCTAACTTTCCCCCACTTCCTTTTTCCCCCCGTCTCCTACAGAAATGATTTGTCTTTCTCGAGCGCTTACGATTTTTGCAATTGCCATTTTTAAAGAAGGACTATAGAAACAGGAATATTACATGTTCATTTTGGGGAGTGAATAATGTGCTGTTCATTAATCACTTCAACAAGCATGGGCACATTAAAAAAAAATCATATTAATGTTTGCAAAAGTCAAATCATGTTACATGTTTTTTTGCCCCACCCCTTCATGACCATGTCTCTGACTCTTCCTAATCTTCACTCCAGAAGTAGATCTGGGGCCACATGAGGTTCCTCTGTTTTTTCCCCCATTCATCTGGACCAGCTTCTCAAATAACGTTTTTTGCCTGAGTGACTTTGTTTTATATTTGACGTCTCAAAGCTTTCATATTTCCCATAATATATTCTAATTCCATTTTTTTGCATAGAGAAGCTTTGAAAAAAAAACTTTTATTTGAGAGATGGGGAGAAGTAACAAATGGGTTTCTGTGTCTCTCATGATGAAAAAATATATTGTACTAAAACCAACTCTAATATTTCTTCTTGTGTTCTGTCACACTCAGAGTGGTAATAATTTTCCAACTTTTATGAACGATTAAATTTTAGTACATTTTCATTAATTTTTTGGTCTTTTGTATTTTGTTTTAGGCTTTTGCTTGGATGTGGATGGTTAGATAATCCATTTTGTGCCTGTCTAGGAGAAGAATGAAATCAGGCCTATAACATGGTGTTGACTTCTCCATCTAGAACCAGTAATCAGTTCCTAATACTGCGTCGTCAAGAACCCAATGATCATACAGAGTAAAAAGAATCATGGTATAAACGTTTGATTTTATTTTATTTACTTCTTCATGATTCTCTCGATAGTTGTCATGGTGATGCTAGGTGTATCTGGCCAGCTTTTGCTTTTATTTTAAGAATTTTTTTGTCTTAATCTTATGATTTTTTTTTTTTCGTTGATTTAAATAAATGTATTTCATATTGATTTGGGTGTTTCTCATAAATGGCATTCTCATGATTTCATCACAGAAACTGACTTTGTTAGGTTCATTGCTGTCGCTGCTTCATGAAATGAGTCTTGGGATCGCTTAAATTTTGATTAGAACCAGCTGTTCAGCACCAGGATAATGATTTGCATTATGTCTGCGGATCAGCGCTGTTCACATTGTTCGTATTTGTCCACTAGAGGGCAGCAAATCCCTGCTCCTACGTAAAGGGATTTTGTTCTAAATTTCTGAATAGTTCAGTCTGAGACCTAAACAAAGAAGAGTGTTTTAATGTGAAATGTTGCATAATAGGGGAACTTACCTACTCCATGTTCTGTACAGTGGTGGTGTTGTGGTGAATGAATCTGAAAACCTATTTCTTTGGGGACTGTTTTTCATCTTGAATGTTCAAAGTTTTATTCATCTTGCATGTACTTCAAACATTTGTATCTCTCCACCATGAATTGGTTTAAAGAAATACATTTTAGGCAAAAACGCTATCTCAACTATTGTAAAGCAATGTCTCAGACATCAAACAGAGTATTTGTAAAGATTTCATGCAAAAGCGATCTGTGAGGTAGTTTTCAGAGGCGTAAAAGCTCCAAATGTCTGGTTCCGATCACCAATGCTGTGACCAGTTCTGTGAACGGTAAGTTTCTCTACTATGGAGCATTTCACATCAAACCACTCTGGTTGACATCTTCACAATTTAAATATGCAGAATTTTGTACTAAATTGGTGGAATTCTTCCTTAAGCATCCTATCAATATAATCACATCTAACAAAGCTGGCTTTCAGAAAGCTGGATTTCTCAGTTGCTGTGAAATTTATGCCGAAAGTAAAGACTCTCCAATAGGAATGTCATTCCGTCTTCTCTTATTGGGCAGTCGTGTGGTTAGCTTAACCCTCATTTGTTAAATTAGGGTTGCCTCTATTTCTGTGAGAACAATGCTTTGATGAGTGATTTGCTGCTCTTGCTTTAAGACAAATATTTAAAGAGGTTTCAAAAGAGCACATTCTTTGATGAATAGCCCTCTGCCTCTATGTGCATGTTAAACCCTGATTACTCTGCTGATTGCCCTGCTCGCCCTCTGTGATTTTAATCTCTATTGCAGTGGCTCTTGAGTTTGTACAGTTTGTTATTGATCTGTTGGATGTTCTAATCCATCTAGTTATTAGTCAGTGTTTAATAACCATTTTCACTTTGTATAGGTTTTTTAGGGAGTGTGAAGACAGTCAAACTGTACACGTTTCGAGTTGACAGCATTGCTTAGATGGGAGAGAGCCAGAAGAAATAGAATTATCTTTATTTAATCCCTTCCTCAATTAATCACTCATTATATAACCCCCACCCCATTCTGTCAGCTTTATATTATGCTGATTTCAATTTATAGCAGTGTTTTTAAAGCCCCTACTAAACCTAGCAATTAACTGACTTCCTGAGCCCTGCTCTAGAACGTTCTCCTTTGTTTGGTTATCAATTATTTTCTAAATGCTCTAAATACTGTAAACTGCAAACATTTGAATGCTGGTGTTTGCTGGACATTGTTGAGTCAATGTGCCTTTGCCTTTATAGGAGATTCCACCTTCTTCAAAAGTTCTACATAGTTCAACAGTTGAGATGTAAACATCTTAAGTCATTTGATGTGAAATAGTTCATCGTACTGATTGCTTTATGATGTTGGAACCGAAAGATGTTCGTTGCCATTTCATTCACTATCCAAAACCAGCAGGGAGTCTGCATCTGTTTTGAGTTTGTTTGTTTTAACATTTTCAGCATTACATATAGTCATAAATCTGAAAAGTTAAGTTCTTCTTTGTGTACTACTTTTCCTTACTTTGTGAGGGAGCTTTTACAGACATTAATGTCTGGTGTGAACAATTCTGATTCAGTATGTTTCTCTAGGATGGAGCATTTTTGATCAAACCACTTTGAATGACTGTTTACATCTTGAGAATTCAATGATGCAGAATTAAACAAACACTGGAATTCCACTTATGTATATCAGGGGTCACCAATCTTATCCGCAAAGGGACAGTCTGGCTCCAGGTTTTCATGCCTACCAAGCAGGCGCTCACCTCCTGTAGCTAATCAAGTGTTTAATGAAGGACACCAACTGATTAAACAAGTGGAATCAATTGTGCTTCTGCTTGATTGGAATGAAAACCAGCAGCTGCCCCAGCCCTTTGAGAATAAGATTTTCTTGACCTGTGCTCTGTATCGTCGTTCTGTTGGCCAACAATTCAGATGACTGATTATTAATGAACTCTGAGTCAGTTTCTTGGACATAGATTAAACCTAGTCTTGGACTACACTGCAGTACCAATGGTGACTCACCTTTGGAAATTATTTTAAATCCAGAATAAGGTTTAATCTGGATCTGGGAAACTGGCCCTGTGTTCTGGAACTGGGTGCACAGCTCCGGTCCTGGAGCGCAGGTGTCCAGAGCAGTTCGGTTCTCGCCACACCCACTAAACCTGTTTGAGCTGGTAAATCACCAAACTGCTGGACCTCCAGGACCAGAGTTGTGAACCCTTGTTCTACAATAATGGTTACTGATTCTTCTGGAGATCTATTTCTTGCAGAGTTTAGTGCCCCCTTTACCCAACACTTATGTCCTCCTCCTTTATTGAATACCGATGCACCTGATCCAGCCCATCAAGGGATTAGGGTGGGATGGGATGGGGGGTGTTGCAGGGCAGGACAGTCTGGCCTTTCCCTTTTCTAGTGTACCTATTTTTCCCTTAAGGCATTTGCGGTTCACATATGTGATGCAGTTGTGAAAGTAAACAAAACATCGGATTTGGCTGTGAGAAGTCCTCTTAGGATATTTTTGTTATTTCTAGGTTTTGTTTTGGAGCCTTCCCTAAAGGCCAAGAGAGAAAGCTATTCTACAAATCTAATAGATGAGTTTTAAGGTGGGCAGTGAAAGACTGTTGAGGGATGACATTCAATAAATGACACCTAGTTATTACAACAATGCCTTTCATCAAGATTAAGCTCATTTTAAGGCCTCCTAGTGCTTAATGTTGGAAGAACCATCACTTCATCAGCCTCTGATTGTCACGGCACTATTCACTTAAGAAGAAGAAGTATCTCCTGGCCCATTTCTTCTACGTCTACACAAACATCCTGTCAAGTCAGACTGATGTAGCTTATTCAAGGCTTTCTGACAGCAGTACTTTATCCATTTCCCACTGTCTAGTTCTATTTCCTTCACAGCCAGCGGCCTGTAGCTCTCCCAGTCAGCTCACTGTAGTGCTGGTCTAGAATCAGATTGCATCCTTTATTCATCCTTTATTCATCCTTTATTCATCCATCAGTATGTGTTAGGTTGATCTGGAAGCAGTGAGGATGAGGACCTGACCCATTTTCTATCAGCTGGCTGGATGTGCATGCCTGGTTTGGTACAACCATATAGTGGAACCAATGTGCCATACCAACTTGTCACTAAGCTTAATGAGTATGCTTGTCAAACTGTAGAACACCAGAAGAAACGTAACCTTTTTTTTGGTCAGTGTTCTTGAAGAAATAGATGAAGAGGTGAAAAATCAAAGGTAGTCTATTAGCCAAGACAGACCCAGCTCTACTTGGGGGCCACCAGAGGGCCCCCTAACAACTTTCAGGTAATTACATAGTTGGCTAATAACATGCTGGAAAGAGGGGGAAAAAGCGACTGGGTTATCATGTCTTGATATCATGAGATGACGAGGAGAAAAATCTAAAAGGTGAATGTATGTTTTGGTTTCATTTTGAGGTGTTAACGTTATGCCATTTTTAGCTTTTGGTAAGAAAATAAGAGATGGACAATCTGGACAGAGAATACTGAGATGCTGTTAGAACCCTGTTAACATTCAGTCATCAGCAATACACAAAATCGCCATTTTTTTATGCATACTTTGCACCACTTGTGGAAGTCATTGTTGTTAGTTAGCCTCATCAGCACAGCTAACTGGTTTAAGATTTATATGTATAAATGTTTGGAATACACATGGGACACTAGATACAAGCCCCCCCAAAAACACCTGCTCAGGTCCCCAAAATGCTAGAGCCAGACCCGAGTCAAGACATGTTTGGTGTCTGAAGTTCACAAGTAATGGAAACTCATGACCACCAACTAGCAGCATAAAATTGCATCACAAACTTGCCTCAAACTGTTGAGCTGGCAATAATCTCATATAGGCTTGCTTAGTATGACAAACTTAAGCAATAGAACATGAGAGGAAGTTTGTTATTGCGACATCATGGCTGTGAGGGTCTGCAGCACTCAGTAAGATAATTGCCAGAACACACAACTTTGAGTTTGCCTGAATATGGCATCAAACGTGCTTTAAAATCAATTAAGAAGTAGTAGCCTTCTGATCAACAGACCCATACAGAGCCATAAAACTATTGTAATAAGTTCAACCAGAGATGTTATAAAGGAGACAGGTCACTGGTTCGAAAACGAATGGGAAAGCTTGTAACACTCAACATGTCTGTTTAGGGAGTAAATCACACCCTTAAGTAAAAACAGCGAATCAGCTTGCTAGTTACAGAGGAAAAGACCCCCTCATGGGCTCAGTTGTGGAGATCTGTGCAAGCGCAGTAGCCAGAATTTGGAAAAAAAGTTTTTTTGTGTGTTATTGAGCCAAAAGCTGCAAACTATGCATGAGATAGCTGTCAGATTTTAAGAGTGATTTCAAATAGCTTTCTGATATGGTAATTTGGCCTTCAGTTTTTAGGCCTTTCTTACTTCAATGTTAGGAACGACTGAAAATAACTGCCCTCCGGCATTGCCAAGATAGCTGCTGAGTGGACAGATTTTCTTAAAAGAACTTTGGTTATCAGCCTTGTAGCTGCAATATGAAACTAAAGAAGCAAGCCAGATATGTCTTGACTCATTAACTGCCTTTGGGCAGATTGTGCCGAACTGTTCCATAAACTACTGTAATTTAGTGATTCTTATGCTGTTCTCTAATGTGAATCCTGTAAATCAACTTTAACAGAATGCTTTTGAGACTTAGTCATCTTCTGACACGAGCTGTAGGCTTGTAACTGGAGTCATAGTTGAGTCTAGGACCTACCATCCCGATCATAACATGTAAAATAACATCTGATCACAGTGGTCAATCTCAGTCATATTACACATAGACAAAATAAAAATGTCCTTTCTTTCACAGATGGAACGGCTGGACTGACCAGTCATTTTAGGTTATAATTAGTAACTGATATTGCCTGTACATGTATGCAGTGGGAGAAACTCAGGCTTTTGTTTGTTTATTTTTGTGGGTGAGATTTTCATTTAAAGGGAGTTCTCATGCTGTCGGTGTCAAAGGCCAGATAATGGACAGTGGGGGATCCAGCTCCAGCTTTTCAAATGACACAGCACTCATAACCAGTGATATACAGTACACTTGCATAGAAAGTCTGCCCCCTGCCCCCCCATGCATGTGACTGTACACTGTCCCTCAGAAGTTTGGGCTCACTTACCTTTTCAGATTTTTTTAATACAAATGGGCATGTTTTCTTTTTTTGCAGGTCTAAGTAGGTTTAATTTGAGGAGAACAATATGTGTGAAAGTGCTGCCTTGGAAATAATACTAAATTCCATGAATGTTATCGCCTTGTGGTAATGTCAACAATCGATGCATTCAGCTGTTTAAAGCACCTTTGGAGTAAAAAGATTTTCAGTATATGCTTTAAACAATAGTTTGGAAAAGAAATCTGTCATATTATTTAGATAAAAACATGCTCTTTATACTTTATACTAAAACACTTTAATGAACATGTAGTGCTGCAAAATGCACTCACAGCCCATTTTATTTGCACCCTGTATGCATAAATGATATAATTAGCAAACTTAAACTATTAGATAATAATTAATTAGTTATATATTAGAGCTTGTTATTATAAAGTGTTACTGAATAATGATGGCAGGTTTTTTAATATAGTGAAAGAAAGGAAAGAGAGTCATGGTGGCTTGTATCGGGGTGGGCTGGTCACGCAATCCCTAAACCTGAATGTGTGTATGATTGCGTGAGATGAGAGAAGACTACAGCTGCTGAGACAGAGTCAGAGAGAGAGGATCTGAGAGCAGTGAACAGCTGTACGCATGACCTACAATATGTACGCAGTCCCACACAGTGTGGCATCAGAGATTTATGCTTAAAGGTAATGCTGAATTCTGTTTGACCCTCACACCTGTTTGTCCTGGGGGGCTGATTTTTGCTTGTAGGCGTGTGTGGATGTGGGTGTGTGTTCAGAGCCTGTTATTAGAGCGCTACAGTAATGACTGTACAGAGTATGACTAAAGCTGATGTGTTAAACTCTAAATACCAGCAAAGTCATAAAAGCCTACTAACTCCTTTTTTGTTGTTATTGTTGTTACACTATTTGAAAATATTAACTGATCTATCTATGATATGAACATTTCATTAGTAATGGACCACTAGAAAAGCTCCAAAAAGTCTTCGATGTCAGAGACCACCCATCGTTTATTTAACTTCCTGTCAAAACAAGTACAAGTCATTAACTTTTCAGTAGATATTTTCCAAGAGATTAGATATAAGATGTTCATAAGGAAGAAGAAAGTCAAGGGAAAATACGTGTAAAACAGGAGTTTCCAAAACTGAAGTTCAAAAAATTTAACTCCCAGCAACCGTGGAGCCTGGGAGACCACCAAAACTGTCACCTTCAGATAAGCAGCACTTAAAGCTTTTGTCTTTGAGAGAAGAGAAAATCAAGCTCCACTCTTGCTTCAGATCTGAAAAAAACGCAGGTGTTCTTGTCCATCTGGGTCTGAAAGGATGTGTAGCTGTCAAAAAGCCCTTACTGAGAAAAGAAAATTTGCAAATCAAACAAAGAAGCAGCTGGTGTTCTCAGAACAATGGACTGATCACCCCAGAGTTCAGACCTCAACATTACTGTGTTTGGAATTACTTTGATTGTGAGATTTTTCATTCACTCGTTATATAAGCTGCTTATCCTCCTGGGTCATGGGGGTGCTGAAGCCTATCCCATCGTTTATTGGGCGGAAGGTAGGAAACACCCTGGACAGGTTGCCAGTCCATCAAAGGGCAGACTGTGCCACTGATACATTAATAATACAATTTACATCAAAGAGTTTTTCACATCTAACATGTCTGTGCCAATCCTGGCTCAGTGTGTTTTCAGTAAATGTGTTTGTTTTGTAACGTCAAGAAATAATTCAAAATGGACTGTTTTTTGCAGCTTAAATTTCATATACAGACTCAGAAGTGAATGGTATATTTTGAAACTTTAACAATGTTTATTTACTACACCAAACTCTTATTTCACAAAATCAAGGAAGGTTCCGTATGGGCCCTTTAACATTCATGCTATTCCACTGTACATCTTATTCCCTGGGTGAGGGGTAAAAATAGCCCTGCCCATGCAGTTAGTTAACTGATTGCAATGGTCTTGACCCTGATTGGTCTCTTGCTTCTCAGTCAGGAAATGTGACTTCCACGTGGCTTCCAAGACAAAGCCTGGCCCCTTGGTTTTTAGGCCGATGGCCTCCGTGCTGACCTCTCTCATGGCGTCATTGGATAGTTTAGTCACGCTCTTCTCTGAATTAACATTTCATAAACAGGGAGTTTGGCCAGATCGTCCGCATAATGAAGCTGTTGGGTTGCTCAAAAAAGACTAAGAGTCAGTGCTTACAGCTTACTGTAGCTTCAGTTGAACTCCAGTCTAAAGCTGGCGGTTTCCAAAGAACTGCAGCATTACAGTACAAGCACTGAATTAGGTGAAGTCCACAGAATATGTGTGTCCATAAGTTCCCATTGTGTTACACTGTCATTGTGATGGGCAACAGTTTGAAATGCCTCTACAGTTAACCGTTACTACTTCCTGTTTACAGATTTAAAGGATACAGGAAAAGGAGTGAATGAAAGGAAGCAGCGCAGTTCAGCACCAACCGACTCCGCATCTCTCAGTGTACTGGTTTTTGTAGCAGTAGGAGCTGTTGGCAATAAAATGCAGATTTATCCATTTTTTTATTTAAAAGTGATGGAATACAGCATACGATAATTGCGTAGAATGAGTCTAATTAAGGAGTGACAGTGGTTCTTTGTGATATTGATAAATATTCAAATCAAATATATCATGGTATTACAGTATTATATGTCAGTTAATGACCCCATGGTTAAAGAGTATATCTACTCTTTGCTAAACAAATATCTTACAAATCTAAAATAGCTTGTTCTGATTGGGTCTCAAAGTTACATATTATAAATACTGTAAATGTTAACCACGCAGAAACCACATTTCCAGATAGGAAACAGTCATTTAGTTTTTATGTATTTTGAACTGTTTTTTCAAAACAATCTAAAGGACCTGGTAACTAAGCTTTTGCTGTCCATCCACACAGTTAAAACTTATTGTTCTGTGATAGTTTAGATAATATACTGGCCAGAAAAAAGTGACAGAGATTTTTTGCCTGAAAAACTCTTAGAAAATGTATAACCTCAAAAAAATAATAAATATAAGTTACCCTAAGTTGTGTTTGTAATGGATTTTTGTCTTTGATCTGTGTACTACAGTACTGGTTTAACTTTGAAAAAAATCTAAAAGCTTTAAAATCTATACTGCTGTCACATTTGTTGGCATAATGTCCTGAAGGTACTGAACAAAACACTTTTTTTTACATGTATAGCACTGTGCAAAAGTCAGAGACCACCCTTCATTTATTTCATTTCCAGTCAAAAACCCTTAAGTATAAGTTATTTGTACAAGATATTTCTGTGGAGATGACATACAAGATAAACCCCTTGTATAAGGGGAAAGTCAAAGAATCAAAAGAGAAAGATAAAATGGGACTCCTAACAACCACGCAAGACCTGGTAGACCATCAAAACTGTCAATCACTAAAGCTTTCATCTTTACGTAGGAGAAAATCAAGCTTGCTTCAGATCTGAAAAAATCCACAGGTGTTTCTGTCCATCCTTCCACTGTGGGAAGACAACTCAACACTGAGTCTGAAAGAATGTGTAGCTGTCAAGAAGCCCTTACTTGGAAATGGAAATAAAGAAAAACAAAGAAAATTTGCAAATAAAACAAAGAAGTTTCAGGTGTACTCAAAATAATGGACTGACCACTCCAGAGTCCAGACCTCAATATCATTGAATGTGTTTGGAATTACTTTATTGTGTGAAGCAGAAAATGCAACCAACATCTAAGACTGAACTTTGGATGTGTGGAAAAATATCCCTACTTTGAAAATTTGAAAACAAGTCTCTTGAAAAGAAGAAAAACTATACTAATATAATTTATTTTTTCAACTAATAAACAAAGGGTTGGTCTCTTAGTTTTGCACAGTAGTCTATATCTCTATAGAGCCACCATTTGGGCATATGTGAGTTACACCAAAATGGGTAGAGTTACAATATATATGAGGAGCATGACGAGTGGAGCAGCATTTACACATTTTTTATTTTAAAAATATCAACATGTGCATACAAGCATTACATCTTTCTCTGTCTGCATGAGAGTTGGCTGTAGAATAAAAGACAGCAAGACTACAGGAGTAGAGGTGGTCTGGATGATTATTTGTGTAAGGTCCTGAGAGGTCTGGGTAATCAGCATTGTTGGTCATTTGATTGGCGGTCTGACATCCCTGCTTAAGGAGGCAGAAAATCAATGAGCAGACTGACAGTGGTTAATTTGACTCAGCAGGAACAGACAGCTTGTTTTTGTTTCCCCAAAAGATACTTTACAAAAACACTCTATTTGTGTGGTGACCTTATATACAGAGACATTGTGGTATTACTTTTTCATATGCAAGGACATGATATACATAGAGAATAGTTTTAGAGGAATGTACAGTACTAGGAAAAACAAATCTGAGATCTGGAAACAAAGAAATCAGTCAAATTTTCTATGTGCTTGAAACATCAAGGTTGATAACGAAAGCTTTGGTACTGAGAGTTCTTATAATTTCAGTCTATCTGAGCTTCTTAGGCCTCCACACTCATCTGCTTTATTTAAATAAGTCCTCAGTTTTTTCTGTGTGATCATCACTGATTGTAATCAGCTTTTAGACCCATACTGCAGAGCTATAATCAAATACAGACCCTTTTGAACTCGTAATCTCCTCGATGTTGTCTGGTTTTGGCCTACTTTTCCAGGCTCTCCCACCATCTCTTTTCCAGAAGGGTCTATAAAAGCTTCCTTTTGGCTTGGAGCCCTTTATCTTCTTGGCTCTTTTTAACAGTTCCTCCTCCTCATCCTCTGGGGTCAGCCACCCGGGTCTCTCCTTGAGCAGTCTGTCCCGGTCGGGTCGAATGCTCCTCAAGACTTTTTTGAAGATGTTAGTAGTTAGAGTGAGTCTCCTGCAGAACTCCTGAGAGCAGCTGAGGCGCAGTGGATGCTCGGCAGCTTCAGCCAACCTTCCTACTCGCTCTTCTTCATTGGCTAGCCGGCTCTCCAGCTCAGGCAAGTCCAGCCAGTTTCCCACAAGATCGGCCAAGACGTTGTCTCCGAGCACCAATGGCTGTCTGTTTCGGCTATGGCTCATTAGAGAGGATGTCCAGTCGCTGGAGTCGTCTGTGTCGTAATGAGAAAAATCACTGTCAATGGAGGGACCTTCACGTGATAGAGTGTCCATTAGCCCCTGAAGCTCTGCCATTGTTGCTGGGTGGAACGGAGGTTGATGCTCCTCAAATGTGGACCTTGAGGCTGAATGGCAAGATGCATTTTCCAAAGGAGAACCACGAGAGTCACGCGAAGAGAAGCTGTCATCATCAAAGCTGGAGAAAGAGGCAGACGTGCAAAGGCTTCCTCTATGGTGGGTTCCTCTTGGGTCCTGCCTCCTAGGTAGCCTGTGTGGAGCAAGACTATTGTCCTCAAATGGGGAGCTGGTGAGGAACATGGGTGGGTCCATTTCTAGGTCTGACAGACTTGATTCCCTTGTGAATGTATGATTCTGTGATCTTTCTGATATCTCTGTATCCTTTTTCCTGGTTTCTCTCGGGATGTTTTCCAGCTGTTCTACAAACTGTGTATCTGAAGCTGTAGCTCCAGGAGGAAGCTGAGTGGTTTTGCAGGAGATCTGCAGTTGCTCCAGTGCAGTCTGAACCTGAAGGAGTTTCAGCTCCTGCAGAGCTCCCATCATAGAGTTCATCTGAGCTTGAAGACCATCACCTGCCTCCCTCATGGAAATCTGAAAGTGAAAAAGATGAGATCAGTTTTTTAACCCTTTAACATACATGGTAGTAGAGGTATAATTATGTCATTATTACAGTAAAATCCATCACAATGTTCTTTTGTGAGCATATTGTGGCAAGAAAAAAAAATCACTGCTCATCATGAAGCATTTTCCAACTCAACAGATTAAAAAGTATATATATATATTGTGTTGTATATTGTGAAAATGTCTCCAAATGTCATGGTGTTACATATCTGTCAAATTGCCCACCTCTTCAGCAATAGCCTGTATGTAGACCCAATATGTAATTCCCTACGTATTAGTTTTCTTAGTAGGTACTGAATCAATTTCTTTCATAAGCCTTCCTGTCGTAAGATTAATAACTACTCAATAAGGCTATAGTTTAAGGGGTTAACATGCAGTAACCATTACATCATCTATTACATCATATATCACCTTCAAAAGGTAACAAACATCTAAGACTGTTGTTTGTGCCATAAAAGCTTGGTAAAACACTGACAACATGCAACCTCAAACAAAAAAGATTACCACCTATGCAATGCTAATATATTTCGAGTACCTAAGCAAAACATCTGGTCGGTGGTGAGCTATCCCTGTGTGGGCTCAGATTTCCCCTGAGGGGTCTGATTTAAGAAAAGAACAAAAGAGCCGAGACCCAGCTTTTGGTTACATGGTTTTAACTGGCATTCCACTGTCTTACCTAAGCATAGAGTCATGCCAAGAATGAGGGAAAATAACACCTGGACAATGTAGCCATCTTCAGAGGTGTTTTTCACACCTGTCACCTGTTCTTCTCTTTTGTATTCATCTCTTGTGCTGTCTTTTACTCAGCATTTATCCTTCTCTCTGTATGTCTATCTCATACCTGTTATTGTGTAACCGTATCTGCACATGGCTTTTGATCAAGGAAAACCTCAAACTATAATCTTGCTTCTATGGTGGGACAGATTTGCGTAAAGTACACAATGTGACACAATCTGTTCTGTAATGCTGTAAAAATGCAACATTAATAATTAAAGCCATGACTGACTGTAAAGACATGATCATGAGATTTCAGCTGTTTATAAATAAGACAATCAAGCGTTGCATAAGGCATTATATGAAACAATGAATGACATTCATTAATGTCTTTAATGCAGTAATTGGCTTATTTTTCACGTTAAATCCTTTCTCCTTTAGTGTATATAAATTAACTTCCAGCCGAGCAGTGCTGCCTGTAAAAAGGCCTCCGCATCTCTTGGATTACAGATCAATAGCTGCCTCAGGCTTGGTGGAAGCTGTACAGTCCTGATACAGTAACCTTGACTAGACTGATCAAATGAAGTATGGATAATTTCCTACATTGACCTTATCACTTGAATTTAAAATGATTTTGATAAAACTACTTGTTGAAAGTTAATTGCACAAAAGTGATATTTAAATAGAACAGATAGAATAAATAGTTAAAAAAAAACCCAAAAAAACAAAGGCTTTTTTTTTCAGCCACTGTGCTTTTCTATCAGTTCTCTGCAAAAAGTCATTCTAAGATGCTCACAAAAAGAAAGTTCTCCTAAAACAGCTTATACACATCAAACAGATGAGGTTACACTAAAACCTGGCAAACCAGCATGCGTCCGACAACATCTCTGTTGCTTTCTATCATTGAACTGCCACAGCTATATAGCCCATTAGTTGAAAAACAACCTTACCTTATTCCACTGAGCTCTCTCTTTCTCCTTTATGCCTCTACCTTTCCCTCTATCTATCCTTCTCTCTCTTTCTCTCTCTCCCTCTCTCTCTGGTGTGTGCCTGACTGTCAGCCAATCAGGTGACCATCCAAATAAAGAATCACATTGATTTTTTTTTTCACCCAGGAGAGTGAAGATGGCCTGATGGGGGTTGTAGTTTCAACAGAAAAATGGCCAGACAGTGAGTCAAACTTGAAGGGCTGAGACATGTCTTATATTGCTCATAATGAATAGACTTGCGTGAGAGTAAGTAGGTTTGTGTTTATGTGTGTGTCCATACAGCTGTTCTGATGAAGAGACTTTCAACTATGAAATCATTTCATCTGTGAACTGATAACGCTGCAAAATTATACTGATGAAATTGCTGATTACATTCATGAAAATATTGAGCTACTAAATTCAACTGGCCTCTACCACTGTCGCAACACACATGCACAGCACTGTACACTAAAAGCAGATTAGCTCCCTTGAATGGTGTATGAAAAATCAAAACATTAGAAATGTTCTACAAATGTTTTATATAATTTACTTGTGTAGGCAAAAGTGATTTACAGCCTAGTTAGCCAATGGCCGATTTTTATAAGCTTTATTTTTCATTCCAAAGCTCACACTGTGTGTGGTAAATGAACACATGGACCACACTGGCACCTTTCCATTACTTTCTATTAGCCAGAGTCACCATAAAAACAACATGATTTGCTCTTCAATGAAAATAATTGCACTTCATTAAGACCACCTCCTTGTATCTACGCTCTTTGTCCATTTTATCAGCTTACCATATAGGTGCACTTTGTAGTTTTACAATTACAGACTGTAGTCCATCTGTTTCTCTCCATACTTTGTTAGCTTTGTTAGTAAAAACTCCAGCAGCACTGTTGTGTCACATCCACTTGTACCACTTGTATCAGGTAACATGGAGAGGGAGAGGGTCCACATCCTCTCCATGCAGGCTCTCCACTGGTGTCCCACAAGGCTCGGTGCTAGGTCCTCTTCTCTTTTCTCTTTACACTAGCTGTCTTGGCAATGTAATATCATCTCATGGCTTCTCTTATCACTGTTATGCTGATGACACTAAACTAATGCTTTCTTTTTCACCCTCTGACACACAGGTTTCCAGTCGGATCTCAGCATGTCTGTCTGACATCTCTTCATGGATGGTAGCTCACCACCTGAAGCTCAATCCTAGCAAGACTGAGCTACTATTCATCCCTGCAACTACAGGTCCTCATCATGATCTTGCCATCTCATTCGAGAACTCTCAGATTGTCCCGTCTGTAGAGGCAAGAAGTCTTGGTGTGATTCTGGATGGCCAGTTATTGTTCTCGACTCACATTGCGAACCTAACTCGGTCATGCAGATTTCTCCTGTTCAACATCCGGAGGATCCAACCCTTTCTCTCGAGAGAGGCCACCCAGGTGCTGGTGCAGTCTCTTGTCATCTCAAGGCTTGACTACTGCAACTCGCTCTTGCTTGGTCTTCCGATGAAGGCCATCAGGCCTCTGCAACTCATCCAGACTGCAGCAGCAAGACTCATCTTCAATCTCCCAAAGTTCAGCCACGTCACCCCACTGCTGCGCTCCCTTCACTGGCTTCCTGTAGCTGCACGCATCAGATTTAAAACCCTTATGCTTGCCTACAAAGCCAAAAATGGACCAGCCCCTCCCTACTTGATGGCAATGGTCAAATCACGAACTGTACCACGAGCCCTTCGAGCTTCAAGTACAGCTCGGCTTGACCCGCCATCCTTCAAGGCGCGTGGAAGGCTAGCATCAAGGCTGTTCTCTGTACTGGCACCCAAGTGGTGGAATGAACTCCCACTGGCTGTCCGTACAGCAGAGTCTCTCGCTGTCTTCAAACGCAGACTGAAGACTCACCTGTTTATTCAGCACATAAATGAGCACTAAATTAAGTATTGATTGTAATGTATTGTACAGCACTTATGTATTGTATTGTATTGCACTGTTCTGTGTTTAACTCTGTCCCTTTTTCACTAGGTGTCAATGACTTTCTGATTCTAGCAGTATCTGAGCTCAGGACTGGCTTTCTCTCTAACCTATTGGTAGCTAGCGAAGATTCTTTCTCTGGATAGACAAAGCACTTTTTGTAAGTTGCTCTGGATAAGAGCGTCTGCTAAATTATGTAAATGTAAAATGTAAATGTACCAGCCCAACACACACTAACACCACGTCACTGCACCACTACTACATAATACATGCTCTGAGGTGGTTCTGACCATTGAAGAACAAGGTGAAAGCAGCTAACAAAGTATGTAGAGAAACAGATGGACTACAGCTTGTAATTGTAGAACTACAAAGTGAACCTGAATGGTGAGTGGAGCTGATAAAATGGACAATGAGCGTAGAAACAAGGAGGTGTACCTAATGAAGTGGCCAGTCCATGTATGTTTCACATATATGTAAATATTAAAACATGGCAAAGTGAAATATATTTATGACATATACTTTAAAACATCACATATATTGCATACATAATGCACATATTTTTAGTGTGAGCAAATATATGTACATATGTATTTTTTTCTTCCATATGGGACAAATAAAGTGCTACAACATTTTGGTACAGCTGTAGCAACAACATTTAAACAGTGTGAATGCACTTACTTGTGATTTATATCATAAAACTGCAACGTAGAACCGCAAAAATAAAAACAATACATTGGCTGTTGGCCGATTTCGTATTTTGAGCAAAAATCTGCCAAGTCCATTCTTGGCTGGTTCTGATTGTGCATCCCTAATGCAAAGTATCTCAAACAGAAGCTATCATCAGCCCTTAACACTTTTGAGCAGTGTCATTCCCCACAGTGATGATGCAAAAATCAAGTTGTTTTTTAAATGTCAGATGATGATTAACTGTCATGTTAATAACTGTGATTAACAATTGTCTTTTTGTTTATTCTATTCAATTATTACAAACCTAAGTCTGCTTACGTACAAGCCTAAGGTGGCCTAACTGGCTGATTAGCTATCCTGCTTTGTAGCTATCAATACCCAAAATTAATAACTCCCAACAGATGAGAGACACAACTCAAATAAATAAACATTACTCACCACTGCCCTCTAAAGGTGTTATAGCATCAATCAGAAGTTAGAACTTGTGTTGTTTTGTAAGACACGACACATCTCAATAAATGTTTCCCTCTTTCTTTTATTTACATCTGTTTGTCTTAACCCAATGGATGAAAACCATTCACATTCTGTTTGTTGTGATGTAAACATAAGATTGCAAAAGATAACAACTGTGGAAAAC